AGAAAAGCAGACTTTGACTCCCTCAGGGAACTGATGGGCAAGATCCCCTGAGAGAATAACATGAGGGGAAAAGGAGTCCAGGAGAGCTGGCTTTATTTTAAAGAATCCTTATTGAGGTTGCAGGAACAAACCATCCCGATGTAGAAAGAATAGTAAATATGGCAGGTGACCAGCTTGGCTTAAGAGTGAAATCCTTGTTGATCTTAAACACAAAAAAGAAGCTTACAAGAAGTGGAAGATTGGACAAATGACCAGGGAGGAGTATAAAAATGTTGCTCAGGCATGCAGGAGTGAAATCAGGAAGGCCAAATCACACTTGGAGTTGCAGCTAGCAAGGGATGTTAAGAGTAACAAGAAAGGTTTCTACAGGTATGTTAGCAACAAGAAGAAGGTCAGGGAAAGTTTTGGCCCCTTACTGAATGAGGGAGGCAACCTAGTGACAGAGGATGTGAAAAAAGCTAATGTACTCAATACCTTTTTCGCCTCTGTCTTCACGAGCAAGGTCAGCTCCCAGACTACTGAACTGAGCAGCACAGTATGGAGAGGGGGTGACCATCCCTCTGTGGAGAAAGAAGCGGTTCAGGACTATTTAGAAAAGCTGGATGAGCACAAGTCCATGGGGCCGGATGCGCTGCATCTGAGGGTGCTAAAGGAGTTGGCGGATGTGATTGCAGAGCCATTGGCCATTCTTTGAAAATTCATGGCGATCAGGCGAGGTCCTGGATGACTGGGAAAAGGCTAATGTAGTGCCCATCTTTAAAAAAGGGACGAAGGAGGATCCGGGGAACTACAGGCCAGTCAGCTTCACCTCAGTCCCTGGAAAAAATCACAGAGCAGGTCCTCAAGGAAGCACTTAGAGGAGATGAAAGTGATCAGGAACAGTCAGCATGGATTCACCAAGGGCAAGTCATGCCTGACTAACCTAATCGCCTTCTATGATGAGATAACTGGCTCTGTGGAGTAGGGGAAAGCAGTGGACGTGTTATTCCTTGACTTTAGCAAAGCTTTTGATACGGTCTCCCACAGTATTCTTGCCAGCAAGTTAAAGAAGTATGGGCTGGATGAATGGACTATAAAGTGGATAGAAAGCTGACTAGATCATCTGGCTCAACGGGTAGTGATCAATGGCTCCATGTCTAATTGGCAGCTGGTATCAAGCGGAGTGCCTCAAGGGTCGGTCCTGGGACCGGTTTTGTTCAATATCTTCATTGATCTCAAGGATGTCCTGGATTGTACCCTCAGCAAGTTTGCAGATGACACTAAACTGGGAGGAGTGGTAGATATGCTGGAGGGTAGGGATAGGATACAAAGAGACCTAGACAAATTAGAGGATTGGGCCAAAAGAAATCTGATGAGGTTCAATAAGGACAAGTGCAGAGTCCTGCACTTAGGAAGGAAGAATCCCAGGCACTGCTACAGACTAGGGACCGAGTGGCTAGGCAGCGGTTCTGCAGAAAAGGACCTAGGGGTTATGGTGGACGAGAAGCTGGATGTGAGTCAACAGTGTGCCCTTGTTGCCAAGAAGGCTAACGGCATTTTGGGCTGTATCAGTAAGGGCACTGCCAGCAGATCGAGGAACGTGGTCTCAAGTCGCAGTGGGGGAGGTTTAGGTTGGATATTAGGAAAAACTTTTTCACTAGGAGGGTGGTGAAGCACTGGAATGGGTTACCTAGGGAGGTGGTGGAATCTCCTTCCTTAGAGGTTTTTAAGGTCAGGCTTGACAAAGCCCTGGCTGGGATGATTTAGTTGGGAATTGGTCCTGCTTTGAGCAGGGGGTTGGACTAGATGACCTCCTGAGGTCCCTTCCAACCCTGATATTCTATGATTCTATGTATTCAAACTGGCAGGGCCTGAAGCAATGCACCCTGAGGTACTTAAAGAAGTAGCTAAAACAATCTCAGAACCGTTAGCTATTATCGTCGAGAACTCATGGAGGATGGGTGAGGTCCCAGATGACTGGAGAAAGGTCCTATGTTTGCCCATCTTTAAAAAGCAGAAAAAAAGAGGACCGGAGGAATTATAGCACAGTCAGATGCAGGATGCTGGAACAATTTGTATAGTGGGGGTGACGAGAGCCATTGAACCAAACTGTAACCCTGTATATAATGGAAACCACTTCAAGCCGGGGGCGTGGCAGCACCCTTCGTTCCAGCACCTATGGTCAGATGACCTTCTATACCTGAAAAGATACTGGAACAAATTAATCAATCAATTTGTAAGCACCTAGATGATAATAGGGTTATAAATAATAGTAAAGATGGACTTGTCAAGAACAAATCATGCCATACTAACCTAGTTGCTGACCGAGTGGATGGGGAGGAAGCTATAGATGTGATATATTTTGATTTTAATAAAGCTTTGGACACAGTCCCATATGACTTGCTCATAAGCAAGCTAGGGAAATGTGGTCTTGATGAAATTACTGTAAGGTGGGTGCACAACTGGTTGCAAAATCCTACTCCGAGTAGTCATCAATGGTTTGTTGCCAAACTGGGAAGACCTATGTAGTGGGGCCCCACAGGGGTCTGCCCTGACTCCAGTACTAGTCAATATTTTCATTAATGACTTGGATAATGAATGGAGTGGAGAGTACACTTTATAAAATGTGTGGATCCCCACAAGTTAGGAGGGATTGCTAGCACTTTCATAGAATATCACAGAATATCACGGTTGGAAGGGACCTCAGGAGGTCATTTGGTCCAACCCTCCTTTGGAGGACAAGATTAGAGTTCAAAATGACCTTGACAAATTGGAGACATTTTGGTCTGAAATCAACAAGATTTAATTCAGTAATGACGAATGCAATGTACTACACTTAAGAAAAATGCAAATGCACAACTACAAAATGGGAATAAATAAGTAGGCAGTAGCACTGCCAAAAAGGACCCGGGGGTTATTGTGGATCACAAATTTAATACGAGTCAACAATGTGATGCATATTAACGGGAATGTCATATGCCAAACACAGGAAGTAATTGTCCCGCTCTGCTTGGAACTGGTGAGGCCTCAGCTGGAGTACTGTGTCCAGTTCTCGGCATCATGCTTTAGGAAAGATGTAGAGAAATTGGGGAGAGTCCAGAGGAGAGCAACAAAAATGATAAAAGGTTTAGAAAACCTCACCTATGAAGAAAGGTTAAGAAAAACAAGCTGGGCATATTTAGACTTGAGAAAAGAAGATTATGTGGGGACCTGATAAGCTTGTTATAAAGAGGACGGTGATCCATTGTTGTCTGTGTTCACTGAAGGTAGGGTAAGAAGTAATCATCTTAACCTGAAGTAGAGATTTAGGTTAGATATTAGGGAAAAAATTCTAACTTTAAGGAAAGTGAGGCTTCTGAGGAAGGTTGGGGAATCCCCATCATTGGAGATTTTTAAGAACAGGTTAGACAAACACCGGTCAGGGATGGTCTAGGTTTACTTGATCCTGCCTCAGCACGGGGGGATGGACTAGATGACTTCGTGGAGTCCTTTCCAGCTCTACATTTCTATGATCAGTGTTTCTGTCATTGCAAATGGTCCTACAGTGGAAGCTGCCGTTTTCCATCTATTCTGTGTTCTTTCAGAGATGGTCTCTGTCTTTTCCCTCCATCTTTGATCATCTCGAGGGGTTCCAGAAGAGAACCCCGTGTTTTAAACATTCTTAGCCAGCTGCAATCAAAGATGACCAGTCTGGGGGCGGGCGGGAGTGAGTTTGTTTGGGGGGGGGGGGGGTGTGTGTGTTTGCTTTTTTTTTGGGTGGGGGGGGGGGGGGTTATTTTATTTTATTTTATTTTTTGCTTCAAGTGTTGCCCAGTCACTTCCAGCTAAAACAAACCTCCTTGTGATTGGTGGAGGAAATCCCAGCACTTTGACAGTTACCACCCGTTTGCACATTCTCTATGCCTGCCTAAAGGAAGAGCTATCACTAGCCCTACATTTGCTCACAAACTGAGCAAACGGTCAATATAGCTAGTGGTCAATATAAATTAGGATAAGTTCCAGTTTTCATTTGAACTTTTTTTTTCCCCCTCCCCCAGTTGTTCATAACTTTCTCAAAATTCCGTGTTGGGTTGAAATGTTCTATACTTGGTCTATGCCCAAAGGTTGGGATTTTTTTTCTAGGTAATAAGTTTGAGCTAAATGGATGGAGCTGTTTTCAGTTATTTGAGTATGAGGAAAATCTATGATTCCTCAAATGTCAAACTGGGTTTCATTTGTAGATCTTAATCAGATTTTTTTTAGATGAAGTCACATTGAAAATAAAATTAGGCAGTTTTAAAATTATGTATGTTTAGTCTGCCCCAAAATCAGAACTTAGAGTAGGTGCCTGCAAACTTTAGTAGGTGCTCAAGTTTGAACATTGGGGCCCATGAAGATTAGAAAGCTCTTCTGATGATTTTTAAGTACCTTAATTAATGATCTTTTTAGTATAAATGAAAATTTTCTGCCAAACTAAGCAATGGTACTTTTACACTGTCCATTAATGAGTGACCAAAAATCTTTCAGCCATCTTTCATCCTTTCTGGTGGGTCTGCCACTGGAGTATATATGCAGTGTTGTAGCCATGTTGGACCTAGGATATTAGAGAGATCTTTTATTGGACCAGCTGAAGTATATTTTAACATTGAAGGGTGGAGGGGGAGAAGAGGAGTGGCTTATATGTGGGCGATAGATTGTGTGGGTTTGGGGCCGGTTTTCCGAAAGTGAGTAGTGAGTTTAGGTGCCGGATTTTCAGAGGCTGTGTGTGAGCACTTAAAATCAACCCCCTGTAAGGGGTCTCAGGTTGAGTCCCCCAAAAAGTAGGCACCCCAAATCACTCTGTAAAAGCTTGGCATTAACTCCTGAGCCGGGCATGGATTAATTCCACAATGATTTTTTTTTTTTTCCAAAGCTTGCATCCTGCAAGGAAAGAGTTAATGAAACTTAAGTGCTTGGAGGGAGCAGTTCCCTGGTATTAGCCAATCAGAGGGGACAAAGGTTCAGCTCTGTGCCTGTGCTGAGGTAACAGGTGATTTGTTGTTTACAACATGTAGTTTTTGTAGCGTCCCCTCAGGCACCGGGCAGGTAGAGAGGATCTTGCAGCCCTGCCAGGAGAGCATGGGAGGAAAAACCTCTTGATCGCGGAGGTACATGTGTAGCTAGCTTACTTTTGCTGAAAACATTTTCTGCTTTAGTCTCTTAAAGGAAGCTCTGGGTAAGGTGACACTATGGCGCTCCTTTGTTAGAGAGCACGCTTCCCAGGAAGGGTGGAAACAGCAGAGAGCAGCCAGTCTGGACAAGGAGTACAATGCCTTACCGTCCTGTGTGCATAAGGGAAGAGCATCTATCAGTCAACTCAGTGGATTGTGTTAACCAGGAGCATTGCTACACTGGGATAGACAGAGAGGAAAGACATACCCCCGGTTTACGACTGTTCTGACCATTTGTGTGGTGAAGGAGTTGGGAAGATTGGGTATGGTATTGTTTTCATTTCCTGCCTACTTATGAAAGGTGTAGAAAACATGACCTGTGAGGGAAGATTGGAAAAACTGGGTTTGTTTAGTCTGGAAAAGAGAAGACTGAGGGGGGACATAACAGTTTTCAAGTACATAAAAAGTTGTTACAAGGAGGAGGGAGAAAATTTGTTCTCCTTAACCGGTGAGGATAGAACAAGAAGCAATGGGCTTAAATTGCAGCAAGGGAGGTTTAGGTTGAACATTAGGAAAAACTTCCTAACTGTCAGGGCGGTTAAGCACTGGAATAAATTGCCTAGGGTGGTTGTGGAATCTCCATCACTGGGGATTTTTAAGAGCAGGTTGCACAAACACCTGTCAGGGATGGTCTAGATAATACTTAGTCCTGCCATGAGTGCAGGGGACTGGACTAGGTGACCTCTCGAGGTCCCTTCCAGTCCTCTGATTCTATGATTCTAAACAGCAGCCACTTTTCACTCCAGGGGCGGCTGCTTTTTGAGACATGAGTGTAGCGTTGTGTGTATGTATTTATACCGCGCTGAACTGGGTGGTTTGTGGGTGCCCCACTGCTCTCTGCTGGAGAGAGTCAAAACTGCTCTACTGTGTACCATAGGGCCTATGCCGCTTATGGAGCTTTAGCATAAGTGGTAAGGAACTGGGACAGTGGAATAGTAGGATCTGACTTTGGAGCTGTTGCAGAGAAGTTTTGGATATGTGGCGCATACAGCGATCTGATATGACACTACCGCGTGTAGGAAGCAAAGGAGTTGCAAGTTGTAACTGAGAATGTACCCTGTGTTTGTAAAGTCCTTTGGTATCCTTCAGCTTGAAAGGTGTTGTCTGAGGCTTAGATAATACTCCCTTCCATTCCTGTGTCATGCCTTTTATTTGCAGTGTTTGTGCCATTCTTACTGTAGAATGTAGTAGAAATGCAAATGATTCAGGCAACCCCAATACAAATCATAAGATCTACTATTTATGGCAGCAGGATTTTTAAGCAACGTAGGAACTGGCTTATTCTCCAGTCAGGCCGCTCCCATCCAGGGAGGGATAGGAGGGAAATGAATAACGAGAAAGTTTCCATTGGTAGTGGTGTGTTGCAGGGCTGCAGGTGGGAGCTGTATCAATGCCCTTGAAATTCCTTATGCCCAGTTAATTATAAATCGAGGCTGGATTCACAATACTGAGTTGTTAAAGCCTTGGCGAGGGAGGCGGAGGCGGCTTGATCTGAAAATGGGCATGGTTTGTAAACACACCTTGAATGTTTTTTTTTCTCTCTACCCGTGAGAATGTTGGGGAGGCTGGAATGAGAGGTAGTCGCCTTAGCCTGCTGGCGCCAGAGACATCAGCCAGCTGGCTCTGTGTGCGTGTCCCACTGTGGAACAGGAGATGAGACTGGTGGCTCTGATCCTCAATGGAGCTACACCAATTCACATCAGCTGAGCATCTGGCCCGTGTACTCCCAATGCTTTTCACAACTCACTGGTTTAATAGACACCTCATTGCATTCCAAAGGGATAATTTATAAGAGGGTTCTCAACCAGGGGTACGCGTACCCCTGGGGGTACGCAGAGGTCTTCCAGGTGGTACATCAACTCATCTAGATATTTGCCTAGTTTTACAACAGGCGACATAAAAGCACTAGCGAGTCTGAAATTTTAGTTTGTACTTACAATGACTTGTTTATACTGCTCTATATACTATACACTGAAATGAACATACAATATTAATATTCCAATTGATTTATTTTATAATTCTCTGGTAAAAAGTCAGAAATTTTTCAGTACTCGTGTGCTGTGACACTTTTGTATTTTTATGTCTGATTTTGTGAGCAAGTAGTTCTTAAGCGAGGTGAAACTTGGGGGTACGCAAGACAAATCAGGGTCCCGAAAGGGGTATAGTCGTCTGGAAATTTTGAGGGCCACTGATTTAGAATGTAAGAACAGCTATACTGGGCCAATGGTCTGTCTAGCCCAGTTCCAGGTGCTTCAGGGGGAACAAAGAGAATGGGACAATTATCAAGTGATCCATCCCCTGTCATCCAGTCCCAGTTTCTGGCAGTCAGAGGTGTAGGGACACCCGGAGCCTGGGGCAATGCAGAACCCATGTGTGATTGTAGAACGCGGCCCTTCCAGGCCACTCCGTGCCTTAACAAAACAACACTAAGGTGCTGTGCAGCGCATAGCTCACGGGTGTGACTTGCATGGACATCCAGTGAGTCACACTTGTCTAACTGAGGGCAGAATTGGGCCTGTTAATTAACCATAACTGGGCAACATGCCTGAGTAAATCCCTGAGAGGGTGGAAATCCCCATTCAAACATAGGGCCCACTCCTGCAAGGTACTGACCCCTTCAGTTCTCGTGGAGTGGAAGGTGCTCGGCACCTTGCAGGATCAGGTCCTTTGAAAGCTGGGATTTACTTTACTAATCACTAGAGAGTCTCCCTCTGCCAGGGGAAATCTCCACTGGCTGTTTGCAGCCACAGCTCAGCTCCCTTGTGCTGCCTGTGGGGCACAAACGGGCTGGATCGCAACAGAGAATCTGGCCTTTAATCTTCTCCAACCTGTCCTTCAGCGCTGGAACGTTTATTCCATTTACATGGGGCTGACTTGTGCCAAGAACATTTCATGCTAACTCTACGAGCCCCCAAGGATTCAGTACTGCTTAGCACTTCTGTGGCGCTTTCCCTCTGGAACGCTCAAAGGGCCGTACCAAGGTGAGCACCAAGCAGTATCCCTGTTTCTCAGATGGGGGAAACTGAGGCACAGGCAGGTCAAGGGACTTGCCTAAGGTCACACAGGGATTCTGTGGCAGAGCTCAGAAGGGAACTCAAGTCTTTTAACACTGTCTTCCCATTGGTCCACCCTGCCCCTCCCCTCCCACCGTTCCAGTGATTTCATCTGGCTTTAAAATATAGTTTTGACTGGACTTTGTCTGCTCTATGCTGATTGGCTCTCCAGCTCTCGTTCTCCCCCTTTTTCACGGTATCTTCACCTCAGCTTCACTCCACCCCCACCTCTGTGACCCTTTTCTTCCTTGCCCTGTCCCCCTCTGTGCTGCTTCCTGGGGTACCCAGGGTTGTAAGGCACCTCACTACCACCTGGCCTGTGCCTGCGGGGAGTCAGCTCCCAACTCCACTGGCAATGCAAGCACTCCCCTTTCGGCCTACGCAGGCCCCACTGTCACTGCCGGTTAGCGATAGGTACACTCCAACTCCAACCGTCTCCCTGGAGTGTCCAGCCTCTGGCCCACCGGACACTCGCAGTATTCACAGATCTGCTGCTTCCAAAGAAGCAGGACGCTCCAGCTTTCCTTTAGATCACCACTCCGCTTCCCACACCGCACGTAGGTTTGAAATTCAGTCGAAGTGTATTTAACAAAGCAGAGAGATTCAAGCAAAAGCAAGTACAAGTATTGGAAACAGACGACTACATATGAAATAAAATCATAACACGCTCCAGAAGCTAGACTTAATTAACAAGATACTCGCATCCAATAGAGTACTGCTCACCCAAAATCCCTGCAGCACTTCGTAGCCAGGCTGGCTATGACCCTTCTTTCATGAGACCAGCATGCTGTCACCTTGCCTTCTAGGTGAAGGATTCAGCGTGTCTCTTTGCTGTCCAAGATACCAGACCAATCTTTTGTTTGTATTCAGACAGGACACCCCTCTGTTGTTTGTTTCTTCCTGTAGACTTCTGTTCTGGTAGATTTTTGCAATTTCTCCATTTGCACCTGGCTTAGTAGGCAAATAAGCCTGCAATACACAAATAGCCGGAGTAGGAGCCAGGTGTCATTTACCTTCACCTGAAAGGAACATCTCCGAGGTATATCACCTCCTGGTAACCTGCCTTAGTCTGCACTTCCCTCTACACTAGTCTACACTAGAAAACTAGGTTGGCATAACTACACCACTCAGGGGTGTAAAAAATCCACATCCCTAGGTCGACTTAACTATGCCGCTTAAGTCCCCATGTAGACGGTGCTAGGTCCACAGAAAAATTCTTCCATCACCCTAACTACCATCTTTCGGGGAGGTGGATTAGCTACACTGATGGAAGAACCCCTCCCATCGGCATAGGTAGTGTCTGCGCTGAAGCACTATAGTTCACATTGGCTTGGTCAGCCACTCACATGTTCACAGAAACCGAACCGACCGGTGAGGTCCTGGTCATCTTTGAACCTGAAGGACAAACAACATCGCTGTGCCGCTGTAGCGTTTTAAGTGTAGACAAGCTCTTAACTCCAAGACCTTAAGAACATATTTTCAGTCTAGGTACAGAACTCCTTATATAGTATCCGTATGTACATGTCACACTGATTATGCTGGCCAGTGGGCTACTGGCTCTCAGCAGAGACCTCACATCCAGCCTTTGATGACTTGTTATGCAGACATCTGATCCAGGGGTTCCCTGTAAAACCCTATGTACCCCCTGTGCCCTCTACCAGTTGACACCAAGGGTCCCTGGATCCACAGGCGCCGACTTTTCAAAGTGCCAGGGGGTGACCAATCCCCAGCTCTGCCCCAGACCCGACACCCACTCCACCCCTTCCCCCAAGGCCCCACCCTGCCTCTTCCCGCCCCTGCTCCACCCCGCCCCACCTCTTCCCGCCCCCACCCTGCCTCTTCCCGTCCAGTTCCTCCCCCAGAGCCTCCTGAATGCTGCGAAACAGCTGATCATGGTGGGCAGGAGGCATGGGGAGGGAGAGGGAAGTGCAGATCTGCAGGGCCCGCTGGTGGGCGGGAGTTGTTGAGGGGATGGCGGGGAGCTGATGGGGAGCTGCCAGTGGGTGCTCAGCACCCACCATTTTTTCCCCATGGGTGCTCCAGGCCCAGAGCACCCACGGAGTTGGCACCTATGTCTGGGTCACACCCTTACCCCCCCTTCCCTTCAGTGTCCCCTCTTCCTTCACTTTTCTTTCCATTTAGCTGATTCCCCCTCCTAACTAAACCCATCCCCCCCACCAAAAAAAAATGGTGGCACCAACATGCCATTT